ATGTAGATAAGGAGAACAACAATATTAATGTAGATAAGGAGAACAACAATATTAATGTAGTTAAGGAGAACAACAATATTAATGTAGATAAGGAGAACAACAATATTAATGTAGGTAAGGAGAACAACAATATTAATGTAGATAAGGAGAACAACAATATTAATGTACAGAAGATCAAGAACAGTATGGATGTAGATAAGGAGAAGAACAATATAAATGTAGTCAAGGAGAACAACAATATTAATGTAGTTAAGGAGAACAACAATATTAATGTACAGAAGATCAAGAACAGTATGGATGTAGTTAAGGAGAACAACAATATTAATGTAGTTAAGGAGAACAACAATATTAATGTAGTTAAGAAGAACAACAATATTAATGTAGTTAAGAAGAACAACAATATTAATGTAGTTAAGGAGAACAACAATATTAATGTAGTTAAGGAGAACAACAATATTAATGTACAGAAGATCAAGAACAGTATGGATGTAGTTAAGGAGAACAACAATATTAATGTAGTTAAGGAGAACAACAATATTAATGTAGTTAAGGAGAAGAACAATAACAATGCAGAGAAGGAGAGAACAATATTAATGTAGTTAAGAAGAACAACAATATTAATGTAGTTAAGGAGAACAACAATATTAATGTAGTTAAGGAGAACAACAATATTAATGTAGATAAGGAGAACAACAATATTAATGTAGTTAAGGAGAACAATATTAATGTAGATAAGGAGAACAACAATATCAATGTAGTTAAGGAGAAGAACAATAACAATGCAGAGAAGGAGAACAACAATATTAATGTAGTTAAGGAGAACAACAATACTAATGTAGATAAGGAGAACAACAATATTAATGTAGATAAGGAGAACAACAATATTAATGTAGTTAAGGAGAAGAACAATATTAATGTAGATAAGGAGAACAACAATATTAATGTAGTTAAGGAGAACAACAATATTAATGTAGATAAGGAGAACAACAATATTAATGTAGATAAGGAGAACAACAATATTAATGTAGATAAGGAGAACAACAATATTAATGTAGATAAGGAGAACAACAATATTAATGTAGTTAAGGAGAACAACAATATTAATGTAGATAAGGAGAACAATAATATTAATGTAGATAAGGAGAACAACAATATTAATGTAGTTAAGGAGAACAACAATAACAATGCAGAGAAGGAGAAGAACAATATTAATGTAGTTAAGGAGAACAACAATATTAATGTAGTTAAGGAGAACAACAATATTAATGTACAGAAGATCAAGAACAGTATGGATGTAGTTAAGGAGAACAACAATATTAATGTAGTTAAGGAGAACAACAATATTAATGTAGTTAAGGAGAACAACAATATTAATGTAGATAAGGAGAACAACAATATTAATGTACAGAAGATCAAGAACAGTATGGATGTAGTTAAGGAGAACAACAATATTAATGTAGTCAAGGAGAACAACAATATTAATGTAGTTAAGGAGAACAACAATAACAATGCAGAGAAGGAGAAGAACAATATCAATGCAGGACATGCATACTACAGAGGGTTCTGCTAAGACATCATTTGCAGAATTTGTTTGTTAACAAGAATCCAGCACCGCAACATAATATTGGAACTTTCAAACTGCCAAATATTTTAGTGTTGTCTGCATATGAAAATATATTTCTTGTGATTATTATTGATGTTGAAGATTGATTTCTTGGCTTGAGCAGTGAGACAATAAAAGGTTTCACTCCAGTTAGGGATGATAACAGTCCCTTAGTATCTCTAGAAGTTAACCATTGCAACCACTGGGCGTCTTTTTATGGCTATGCTTTATTGTTCCAAATAGTGATGATACCAGGTGTTTGCGAAAAAGGAGAGCGTATCTTGCCCAACCCGTGACAACCCGTCACAAACACATGCAAAGGCAAGTCAATTGTTCACTTGACAGAAACACGGGAACTAAGGTACAAGTCAAAATAGGGAATTGCAAAAGCAACACATCAAATAACCTGTAAGGATAATCACACACGTCCATTAAATGGTCATAAACGTTGTTGAGGGACATTACCTGATTATTTCCACTCCATTTGAATTTCCACCATGTATACTTATCATGTTCCCTATGGTCATGACTAATACGATAACCATGTGTATGTAGTTCTCTTGGAGACATATCTATATATGTACCATGTTCACAGAAAAAGTTAAATTTAAGAGGAAATGGTTTGAGTCATGTCTGTAATTGATCCTAAAGTCACTGACGTATGGAAAAAGCTGAGAGCTAGCGATAATAGTCTACTAAACTTGCCCATTGTGTGTAATACATGTGAACAGTTTCCTCAAATAAGCTTCCATTTAGAGTGTGTCTATCAAGTGTAAAGCATAACTCAGCTGATTGTTTCCCAAATTGTTTATAGCTTTTCTTGTCTTTCGTTGATTTTGCAGATTAAAATCATCGCTTTGATAATCACCAGTCATTCATAATACGTGCGAGTGTATCATTAGGTCTTTCATTCTTGCAGTGAAATCTGTTAAAGGCATAAACGCATAATGTCATGATCAGCATACTCACTTTTGGCAGTTTCAGGATAAGATGTAACCGAACAAATCGAGATCTCTGTTCGTGTATGTTAGGCAAGGAAAACGACTGAGTCCTTTTTCATTTCTAATTAAAGCGCCAATACAGATGTTTTGAGTAACAGTTGAAGATCAACACAGTTTTCAAAGTTGTTGAAAATGCGTTTGATTATTCCGTAAACAACCTACCACTAATAGTGGCCCAGTCGTCTAAAGCGCCGCGATTCGCTATGCAGAGTTGGGCACGCCAGAAACCTGTGATTGTGGGTTCGAATCCCGGTTCGCCCCGATTCTGTTTCTAGGTTTGTCAGTACCATATCCGTGCTCGTGGGTTTCACCGAAGTGGTAAACGTCTCAGACCTGTATCACGTCGGGCTTTCCTCCCACATTAAGCTGACATGCCGCGAGATAACTGGAATACTGTTAAATGCGGCGTTAAACCCAACTCACTCACTCACTCTAATGACCATGTTTCTTTACCTTTCGTCTCACGCAATTATTTGATCAAACACCGAAAAACCCTTAAAATTAACATATCTTCAACAAAGTATTTTCAATGTTATATTATGCGAGAAATTCTTTACTTTACCAGATTATGTATATTTATTTACCGTATTCGACGTAATAAGCGCCCATGGCGATATTTGCTAATATATTTGCTAGTGAACAATCCCAATTAGCACCCCTTCCGATTGATCAATGTACACTAGACTTATTGATTCGTGTATAACACTCACTCGTGTGTTATATGCACCCTTAATTGTGGGCAATTAAATTCTGGAAAATATATCTGTCGTGTATGATACGTACATACTTTTCTTTTGTGTCATTTCAGGCTGTCAGCATAAACTACTGTACGAAATTTACAATTTTTCAACTCTGTTTTTGTTCTGACCAAAATTATATTCTAATAAGAGCCCACTATTTCCAATTTTAAGAGCACCCCGAGCGCTTAATACGTTGAATACGGTAATCCTTCCATATTCCATGAGAGAATATGAAGCTGTTGACAACACAAGGTCATATTTGTTAATCATATTGGCAGAAACTCTTAATGCATATTTGATAAACAATCTTTCATAAATGTTATGACATGAATATTACGAAGTGACCAATTGCAACGCTTGTGTTTTGTTTGTTTTTTATCTAAGATTGAGGACGTTTACCGGAGCAAACGTATATAATGAGCTGATTTCTCCTGTAAGTGTAGTTCGTTATATCCATGTAATTCGTTATATAACGAACAACGAATATAATGAACTGATTTCTCCAGTCCCCTGTAGTTCATTATATCCATGGAGTTCGTTCTATAACGAACAACGTATATAACGAACTGATTTCTCCAGTCACCTGTAGTTCGTTACATCCATAGAGGTTGTTCTATAACGAACAACGTATATAATATATAGTACAATTAAACCGATAGCTCAGCACAAACCAAATTCAACATTTTTAAGTAATAGTAATATAGCTTTTATCGTCTGTAACATCCACTCTGTTGGCTAATCTGCTATTTGCACGATAGCATGTTACAAATCACATCGCGGCATTCCGTACAAACCAATCCAAGCTCAGCACAAATAGATTTCAAGTCATTATAATATAGTCACCACCAGTGCAATCACCTCCGACTGCTAATCAGCTCTGTGCATTTGACCATAATGTCCACTCACATACCAAGCACCGCGCTAGGAAAAGTACCAGACGCCTCAACCGCTTACCCGTCAACAGTGTGGAGTACTAATTAAACATCTCAGTAATGTTACACGCCACTATATCAGTTTTATTTGTAACTTAATAATAATTTTGAGTGGCATTTTGAACATACAGAACAATTATATGACAATACGTAGCAATTATTCCCTTTTACCAACATAAAGCAACACAGTGCTCAACTAAAACACTTCATTTTGCACATTCATAATAATTATATACGAATACATAGCAAGTATCTCCCTTTAACAATATATACAAAGAAAAACAATTTTAAATACATTATATATACAAAATTGTATATTTTTGGATATCTCATCTATCCAAAGGGCCCGTGAAGATCCGGGGTAGAAAAGATCTTCAGCAACCAATGCTTGCCGTGAAAGGCGACTATGCTTGTCGTAATGGGCGACTAACGGGATCGGGTTGTCAGGCTCGCTGACTTGGTTGATGCATGTCATCGATCCTAATTGCGCTGATCGATGCTTATGTTGTCAATCACTGGATTGTCTTGTCCGGACTCGATTAATTACAGACCGCCGTCATATAGCTGGAATATTGCTGAGTGCGGCGTTTAACAACAAACAAACAGAACAAACACACATCTATCCAAAGCATATACAAGCTTGTATGTATGGATATTTTGGCAGTGTAACGAACCGATTTCTCCAAGGTGTTCGTTTAACTGTATTGTAATTGTACCTGCATACCTTAAGGAATGGTTCAATGGCGGACGTCCCTTCGAGTTCCTGCTTTTCTTATCATTCATCCCACCTTCAGTTTCCGTCGTCTTTCCACCCCCTACGTCTATAACACAATCCTGAAATCCACCATTTGAGCAGCCTTCGCCATCATGTGTCCTCGTACTCAGATCGCCTCCAAGAATTCCAGGATCTTCAGCATTACCTGGAGACTCCGTACGTGTGCCCATCTTTAGCGCTTGTCAGTGACTCAAGTGAACGGATCGTTCTTTTTCATACAGTGTCACCCAGATTGGTGTCAGTGCGCGGCAGTCACCCGTGTCTCGTGTAGCCTGTATTATCTAAATGTTGGTGACGAGGTGAGACAGAAATGAAATTTTTATGATTTTCATTTTATCTACAACGAGCGTCACGCTGACTTATGAAATATGATCACATGCTATATTCACCCTTAACTCTGTCAAAACGAACATTTACGGGAGTGTAGGGTAAACTTGACTGATTGTTATTTAATAGCACCGATTTAGTTTTTCGCCGCATTTAGCAATATTCCAGCAATGTCACAGTGAATATCACAAGCAATTGGCTTCACACAGTGTACACATGTTGGGGAATTGAAACCGGACCTTTGGCGTGACGGGCTAACGCTTTAACCACTAGGCCAACACCCACACTCACACCCCACCCCACACCCCAACAACCCAACACCCGACCCCCACCCCATCAGTGAGTGAGAGAACTAACTTTATTTCAGTGCTATCACGGTGTCAGCTTAATGTGAAGTGAGTATGGTTTTGCCACGCTTTTAGCAATATTCAAACAATATCACGACGGGGGACACCAGAAATGGGCTTTGCACATTGTACCCATGTGGGGACTCGAACCCGGGCCTTCGGCGTGAAGAGCTAACGCATCAACCACAAGGCTACACCTCCGCACCTTAAAAGCAAAAGGGAAATCGTTCTTCAAAATTTCTTAGCAGACAAATTTGACCTGAACCATTAGTCGTCAACCATTGCTATACTGCAGCAGAATAGACACAATACAAAATTAAATATATAAATACTTAAATGTTGTGGTTTTATCAGGCGTATCTTTAGTCCCACCAACACAACTGCTATGAACATAGTAACAATCCATATGCTTCTGATGATCACAGAATGTATTAATACCAATAATAATATAAAAAATTGTATTAATACCAGTGACAATATTTCGCTTGTATATGTAAGATAGCACGTTTACAAGTTAAGTAGCCGTTTTCCCATTCGTCCTATTTTCCTGCCAGTCAACCAAGCATGTCACAAACAAATATGCCCCATGACATCTGCGATGCTTTACGGGGGTTATATAGGTTCAAATATCAAGGTGATGATGCCTACTCCTTCATCATCATTCACCTGATGAAGGAGTAAGTAATACTCCGAAACATTGTGTTTCTCCTCATAAAGAAGTTGACATCCATACATTCTCTTCTTTATTTATCATCGGCAGATATCGAAAAAGTCAATGGACCGCATAGCTTAATATAACCCCTTTAGACGTTTAGAAACGTTTATAACAACGAACTTGAAACAGTAATCAATGATACATTTTTTGTCTTTTAGTCGTCTGGAACAGGTAAACTAAAACTTGATTAACATTATTAACAAGCTGAACAAACTTTGATGTCATAATGCCTTCATACAAAATTGACCAATCGCATCTGCTTGAGCCCATGCATATTCTTTGAACCTTACTTAGGTTAGCAACATAATCAGGATTTATGTAAACTGTGAATGTCTAATGTCCTTTTCATCACAGGTCAAATTAGTTGTATGTTCACGTGTGTCAATACATGATCATATTATAAATGTGTTCCGAACATTATGAGTGAGTGAGTGAGTTTGATTTTACGCCGACTTTAGCAATATTCCAGCAATATAGCAGCGGGGGACACCAGAAATGGGCTTCACACATTGTACCAATGTCGGGAATCGAACCCGGGTCTTCGGCAAGACGAGCGAATGCTTTAACCACTAGGCTACCCGACCGCCCCTCCGAAAGTTATGAATTCGGAAGTAACATCTATTGCAGTTAGATGAAATATATTGGCCAAACTAACTACATGCATATTGTCAGTAAATATTTTCATTTCACAAGATTAAATTGTAACAAAACCATTAACAACCCTTGAATCGTCAAATGTAAATTAAAAGTATTAAAGGTAAATGTTTCAAAAATAACAAATTAATGTCCCTACTGTTTCACATATCTTGTGGTTAAAAGTTAAGCTCCACCTGCAGTGAATATCTAAGTCAAAATATATACATTTTATTTAATACTTGATATTTTACTCAAACGAATTAAGCACTAATTGATACTTTAGAATCATTTTGCACAAACTGTTCCATTTTAGTGTCCCTACTGTTACACATATCAAATTGTCTGAAGTTAAGTTCCAACTCCGGTAAATATCTTAGTCAAAATATATACATTTTGATCAATATGGAGCAATTTACCTATGTACCTTTACAACAAACATTTGAAACTTTACCACAACGAACGAAGCAAAAATTGACATCTTAGAACCGTGACATTGTGAAATACATAGAGGATATTTCATGTGTCGAGTGAAATATCATGTTTCTCTCAGCGAGTGACGGGGGGGAAGGAGATATTTTCGTGAAAATATCTCCTTTCCCCCCGTCACGTGTAGGCCAACATAGTTCCGTCAACGTGTTGTGTTCACTGCAGTGAAATATCAGGTGTTATGTTCACTGCAGTGAAATATCAGGTGTTATGTTCACTGCAATGAAAATATCACTTTTCTCAACTTCAGAAAACTCAGTCTTTCACACTGAAGTATATAATAATCCTGATTGCTATATTAAATAGTCCACTCTGTTACATTCACTAAGTTCGGATAGGGCGGGCAGCCTCGTGGTTAAAGCGTTCCCTCATCACGCCGAAGACCCGGGTTCGATTCCCGACATGGGTACAATGTATGAAGCCCATTTATGGTGGCTCCCTGCGGGATATTGCTGGAATGTTGCTAAAAGCGGCGTAAAACCATATTCACTCACTCAAGAGAATGTGAACATTAATGTTACTGCATGTTATGATATATAAGATTATTTACTTTGAGTAGTTGGACGAGTCTTTAAAAGTGTATATTTAGGAATGCAAAACAATCAAATTTTGAAAGGGTATAATTCCTTCATTCACGCCTGTCCCTTCTGTTGCACTGCCATAAAATGAAGAACGGTAAAACACAAGTGACATTTTTCAGCACCTTTCAATTATGGGAAAAAGGATTCATCATCTAGAAAAAAGTTCATAATGTATTAGGGGGCGGTCGGGTAGCCTAGTGGTTAAAACGTTCCCTCATCACGCCGAAGACCCCGGTTCGATTCCCGACATGGGTACAATGTTTGAAGCCCATTAATGGTGTCTCCGCCGTGATATTGCTGTAATATTGCTAAAAGCGGTGTAAAATCATACTCACTCACTCATGATATGTAAATATACATTATAAACATTATTAATTAAACATGAAAAAACAAACACTGTTACTTTGGTACATAGTGTTACAGAATGTGTAATCGCCCTTATCCATCCTGCCTTTACTGTTCCGTAACAGTAGAGACATAACAGTAAAGACCAATCAGTCTTGTTTTCTATCCAAAATAGTTCATGCTCCCCGATGACTGGGTTTTTTCAACATTCCTTCTCAGTTACCTTTCTTGTTCATGCTTTGTATGAGTTAAAAAGATATATATTGGTTTTAGTTTTGATTTATGACCATATATCAGCAGAGATAAAACAATATACATGCTCGTTTTTACTTATGTTTGGACACGGGATGACTGTATTTCTGTATTCCACTCTCTGTGTTTTGGGTGGTCTTGGATGACATGAGATTTTCCCAAAGAGGAAGTACCCTCAGGTCAGCAGCAGGGAGAAATTATTGTTTTCAAATATAAATCAGTGATAACAGTAGGGACAGTAGTTTGTGACATGATTGTTTGGGTGTCATTTTGATGCAACATCTTGTTTTGCAATCTACAGGATATTTCTAACATTAGGGTAACATGATTTTCCGAAAATAAATGATAAGTTAATTAAAATTTGCATCGAAAGTTTGAAGGTCAGGCTTGAGGCAGACCCAAACCGGTCTTTTTAAGTGACTGTATAAATAAACTCTATCAAATTTTAGGATGAAATGAATCATCTCAATTTACTAGTACATCTTAACATATGTCAGAATATAACATTTAAATGAAAAAAAAATATTCCAAAATAAATTTATTTAAACATATTACCAAGTAACATCGTTGTTACAAAGTTTGAAAATGACTTAAAAATTAATGTTGACAAGTCTTGTCGCAGGATTCGGCAAGGGACGAGTGCTGACGAATATGGTAGGTTTTGTTTTTGCCATGAGCATATTGCGTCACCCATTGTGTCCTGAAGCTATATATAGTACCCCATGATGACGACATGTCTGTCTCATAAGTGTGGGAGCTTACGAAGAGTGTCATATATGAAAGGCCAGGGACCCGTTTCCCCAAGCGATCTTGGCGCTAACATGGCGCTACACTTTCAAAAAGACTTACGACTTAGACTTAATAGACTTATGTGTGTGTGTATGTGTGCGGTGTTCAAGAAAATCAGTCACTAACACCCTTGACTTTCTTATTATGTCACATTCAAGAAAGTCTCCCACTAACACCCTGGACTTTCTAATTATGTCACATTCAAGAAACTCACTCACTGACACCCTGGACTTTCTAATTATGACAGATTGAAGAAATTCATCCACAAACACCCTGGACTTTCTAATTATGTCACATTTAGAATATTCATCCATTAATACCCTGGACTTTCTTATTATGTCAGATTGACGAAAATCACCCACAAACACCCTGGACTTTCTTATTATGTCAGATTGAAGAAAATCACTCACTAACACCCTGGACTTTCTTATTATGTCAGATTGAAGAAAATCACCCACTAACACCCTGGACTTTCTAATTATGTCAGATTGACGAAAATCACCCACAAACACCCTGGACTTTCTTATTATGTCAGATTGAAGAAAATCACTCACTAACACCCTGGACTTTCTTATTATGTCAGATTGAAGAAAATCACCCACCAACACCCTGGACTTTCTCAGATTGACGAAAATCGCCAACTAACATCCTGGACTTTCTAATTATGTCACATTCAAAAAAATCACCCATAAACACCCTGGACTTTCTTATTATGTCAGATTGAAGAAAATCACCCACCAACACCCTGGACTTTCTTATTATGTCA